CATTTCATATAGCATATATTCATTAATTGTAATCCCGTGTTTCAAGAGAACATCATTTGATTCCAATGAGAAATTACCACACATTACCATTTACCCCACAAGTGTATTTTATTTGTAATGGCGGTTGAACCTAGGTTAATTGCTTAGGCTGTTCTACGTACTCGTTATCGGGATCAAACAGATTCGTAGTTGGGAGAGATTAAATTATTATTATTTTTTTTGGTAAGATCAATAGGTAAATGACTCATTGATTTTGAATAGATAAATATCCATCATATTTGAAATGGGTAAATGACCATTTGATTTGATATGGGTGTAAGACCTATTTAGTTTACAAGAAAAAATTTAGAATTTGTGATTACGCCTAGTTTAACTAGGCTACCTACGCATTCGAAAGAAAATTAAGTCAGCCATAGTTTAAAAAGTTTTGGAATTTATTTAGGAATGCGACTGTGCCTAGTGTAGATGCTGGACTGTCTACATATCCAAAAATGTAATCAAGTCGGACGTAGTTCAAAATTTTAGAAATTTAATTGAGAGTGACTGCACCCAGTGTAGATATTGGACTGCCTACGTATCCAACAAGTGAAATCAAGTCTGATGTAGTTCATGGATTTTGGAATTTATTTGAATGAGATTTTAAATGAGTGAAAAAAAAAAATTAAATGAGTGAATGACTCATTTAATTTGGAATTTAACTTGATTTGGTTTTAAATGGGTAAATGATCCATTATTCTTTGAGATGGACTTGAGTCGTATTTAAAACAACTTTGACTTATGTGATTTTTAGAATTCACATAAGTTGTAACTTAAGATGGAATTAAATTCCATGTAAAATTTGTGATTTTATATGAATTTGAAACTCAAGAATTAAATAAGAGTCCAATACTCTTTTGATAAAGAATCACTATGGAGTTTAAAACTCCGAAACCTAGTAAAAAATTTGAAATTCTTTAATTTAATTTTTTGCACTATTTAATTTGTAGGAGTTTGAAACTCCAAAAATAGTGAAGGATTTAAATGGCTAAATTATTGTAGCATTTGCCGAAATGGGTCAAAGACCCATTATTTTGATTTTTATGTGCTTTCGAAATAACACAAAATTTTGAATCATTGCACGCTATCAGAAGAGTTAAAAACTCATTTGTATTAATTTGTGCCTTGAAATGAACCATAAAAAAAATCTAAAGTCTTATATCTACGTCTGGTCATCACTTGAAATAGCAATTGTTTTAAATCACAATCAAGGTTTTTTTTTCTTCAACCCATTTTTTGTATTTTTGTCCACCACTGCGACTTACGGCCAACATATGGGATGAGGCATTCTATCCAAATACTCATAGTCAAAAACGACTTTCTTTCTTCTTCTTTTTTTCCCTTTTAGGATAGAGGACATCAACATATTTTAAATGTGTTCCAAGACTCTTAATTTTGTCAAGGCGATCAACCTAAACTTATATCGATTTTCTAGACTTTCTATTTTTCTACTTGCAATGAGACGGAGCCGCTCAAGGCTTTGTGTTGTTGCACAAATTGGTAGGAGTTGGTGAAACAAAAAATGAATTAAGGAGTCCGAGACTCCTTTAATAGTGAAGGAACTAATTCAAAGCTTTCCACAGTGTAAAACTCTTGGCGGTGGGTTTCGTCAATAGACCATTGACTCGTCTTCGGTGCGTCAAAATTAAAGAGCCCAAACTATTATTAATTCTGCCATTTGAGGAATTTTGGGCAGATGACTTGCAACAATGGCAAGATTTGAGTAATGTCCGTTGCATTTTTTTTGGTTTGTGTGTACATGTTCACACCACCGATGATTTTTTTTAGGAGTTAGAAACTCCGCACAGTTTAGGAGTTAAAATTCCGGTCCTTCCTTTTTTTTAAGGAGTTAGAAACTCCATTGAAAGATTCTAAAACTCTTGAAAAGGGGAGTTGGAAACTCCATTAAAAGAAAATGGTCGCGTTCGGCAAAAGGGACCGGAATTAAAAGAGTGCAAGACTATTGTTGATGTTGCAACACTTATACACGGCAGCGGAGTAATTGGAAGAGGCCCAATGAGCTGTGCTGAAGTGAACAGAAAATAAGTATTTTCACGGTGGCATAATGGTTTTGAAAGAGTCGAAGTCTCTTATTGAGCGACACCATGGTCTCCAAGGAGTCAAAGACTCCAATATGTGGCTGTTTTTCTTGGGTATTGCAGCAAAATTTGGAGGACTTAAAAGCTCTGTTGGTCTTTCATTTGAAGAGAACTCTACTGCCATTCTCCTTTTCTGCTTTCTTTTTCTTTCTTCTAACCATCGACTTAGTTAAAGAGTCGAAGACTCTTGCTAGTTTGAGAAGATGGTGAAGCTCCTGATGATTTCTAAAAGCATATGAAATACTTGGTGGTAATCGCACCGCAATGCATCGACGGAGTTAAAAACTCCTATAATATGTAACTTAGAAGAGATTTGGTATTGTCGCAATTGCTTCGGGTTGCTGCGGTTTTGAACCGAGTTGCTGCTATCAAAGATTGAAAAGATTAAATTGACAAGGAGGAAACAGATTTGTTTTTTTACCTGTTGTAAAGCTTCAAAAATTTTTCTTTGCCTTTCTTCCTTCTCCTCTGTCTGTCGAAATTTCTCTTTCTCCTTTGCCCTCCATTTTTTTTCCTTCCTCCCTCACCGTCTAAACTCCTCATTGCATTTATAGGGTATTTGCTTGACAATTTTACCTTTTGCATGAAAGAGCAGCTGACCTTTGATTAAAGCTACCAGCACATTCCACTTCCTTTTCTAATGGCAAGCTTTGGCTTAGTGGGTCTCCCACTCACCTCACACTTCTTTGATAAGTAGGTTTATTTTGAAGAAACTATCCATAACCACCACTAATGGGAGAATAGGCAAGGAACGTGTTTGGCACGTGTCTTCGTGCTTTATTTTCTAAATTAGTGGCTTAAATAATTTTACTGTTTTTTAATAACGAGTATCCACCAAACAATAATTAATTTTAACCATGACAATGAGAACAAATCTAGGATGTAAGAAATGAGCTCGAAGACTCTTCCAATGATGCGGATTTGTATAAATAACTTAGGAAAAACAAATCACGCATGTATCATCGACCTTCACTATTAATAATAATTTTTTTACCGTTCAACAGGGTGACGGTGATGGTGGTGGTGAATGCGGGTGGTGGTGGGGTGATGACAGTGGTGGTGGGCCATGACAATGGTAGTGGTGAGTGACAACGGGTGCTTTCTGGGCTGATGAGTGGTGACAAATAATGGTGGCAGTAGGGGTGGGGGTGGCTAAAAATGACTGGTGACAACAACTGGTGGTGGGTGCTAATAGTGGGTGACGGTGGTAGTGGGATGATGATAGTAGTAATAATAAATATAAGAATGAGATAACGATAGTGGTGGTGGAGTGGGGATAAGCTAGTGACAGTGGTGATGGGTGTGGCGGCGACGATGGTGGTGGTAGTGATGATGGTCGTGGTGATAGTGATGATGGTCGTGGTGTGATGGTGATGGTGATAGTGGTAGGGTGACGACAACGATGGTGATGGCTATTATGGCTAAGGTGGTAGTAGGGTGGCGATGAAGGTGGTAGTGGTAATGAGACAATTTCAAACACTATTTTTTTTAAGTACTTATAAGAAATTATAAATTTTAAAAACACTTTTAAAAAAGTCACCCTAAACACGTATTTAAAGACTTATTTTTCCTATTAAATTTGACGTATTAATATTAATTATTAGATTAACTTTATAATAAAATTTAAAGAGTTCTTAACCAAAAAAATATAAGTTATTTTATTTATTTTTTAAAATTTAAATTGTATTATATTTTATTATATAAATATTATCACATTCTAAGAGTCACTTGCTTTATTTCGTACATTAGATATATCCAAAATGCAAGCTCCTCTTCAGTATTGTGGAGTCCATATCCAATTCTTAGGAAGCGCAAAACCAAAAACCAGAGGAAGATTAATCATTCGTTATAAATACTTTAGGATGAGATATATTCAAAAATATCAAAAACATCTGAAGACACCCCCTCAAGATCCTCGAACAAAGAACAACTAAACCTATAAATCCGTATCAAAAAAATTCAAATACAAACATTTATAAATTAAAAGGTTCACATTCAATGCATGTGTGCATTAAATTATCACAAAAAAAAATCATCTGCTCAAAACGTGTTTTTCCCTCCACTTTGTCAGTCCAAAATCGGAAGGAAATTTTTTTTGTGAATGGGAGTGATAAACTTTCACCCAACCAAACACATCCTATTTTACATCCCCTCTTTTTCATCCTCTCCTGCCTCCACCAAACCAATTGAGCAAAATCTAAAAGCGTTTCGNGTCAGTCCAAAATCGGAAGGAAACTTTTTTGTGAATGGGAGTGATAAACTTTCACCCAACCAAACACACCCTATTTTACGTCCCCTCTTTTTCATCCTCTCCTGCCTCCACCAAACCAATTGAGCAAAATCTAAAAGCGTTTCGGAATTATTCCTCATAGAAATTTGCCAGAAGTTTCATCTCCATATCAGAACATTTTGCGTTTCCCCAATTGAAAATGGTGAGTTTCCTAGTACCCCAAAAACTGAAACTAATAATTAGAGTTTGATGAGATAGGAAAAGGAGGGTACATGCAATGAGGCTCACCTAAGTGCCAAGTACCATTCAAGCATTAGAAATTTAGGGGCCACTAACACAATCACTGTTCTTGGCTGACGATTCTACTAATTTCTTCAAGTCTGTACGCAGGATCAGAATAAAAAGCACTCGCAAATAAACAACCATTCTTGGCAATGCAGGGTAAAAAAACTCATAACACCTCTCAATTAGGTAGAATAAATTAATGTACAATGCATAGCAAACCAGAAGATTAACGCGGTAAGACATTCAGCAACCAAGTTAGCACGCACAAACCTCACCAACCACCAATGGAAAAATCCATCTCTCAGAATTTTTACCAATACCAATCCAAATTACAAGAAAGAGACTACCGCTCAGCTCTTTGATTTGGAATGCTTGACAAGCCAATCAATGACCGAGTCAATGTTGGTTGAGTTCTTGCATGAGATCATAAAGCAGCATACCTCTCTATCAGTTATGGATTTCAGCCCCCTGCATTATATATTGCCATACTCAATACCAGATTGAAAAGTATTGAAAAACGGGGAAAAAAAACAGCAACAAGCAACAAAAACTGGGCTGAGTCAGTCATGGGAGTTCAAACTGTCTTGACTTACATCTGATCAGTCAATGCGTCCTTACTAAGAGCACCAGGCTTGTCAATCTTGTTGCCTAATACCAGCAGAGGAATACCGCTCAGTGATGGTTTGCTCAACAGATCATGCAGTTCACTCCTTGAGATGCTGAGGTTATCATGATCAGCGGCATCAACAACATAACTGCAAAAAAATCAAGTTCAAAAAACTAGATAGGTCATTATGGCATTAAAAGCTTTTCTAGCGAACAATAACTAGACTGGTAGATCCCTTAATGATATGTCACTGCATACTTTCACTAAGAAACATAAAAAAAGTCTTTGCAAACAGCTGATGATAGTATCCAAGTAAATTAAGAAATCAAATATAACCACATACAAACCAGTATCCAACTCTATTAATTCTCCTTTTAAAACTACTTCAATAAACTCCACAGACACACCCACACACCCCGCAAACTATATCTATATCAGTTATTTATTTATTTGAGCAGGCAAGTCATGTGAAGAAACAGTTACATACACAATAGCAGAAACTGCACGACAGTATCTCTCCCACATACTACGAAATCTGGGTTGACCTCCAAGATCCCACAACTTTATTGTGACATTTCCTTTAGTGACCTTCCTCATATTGAATCCTACCTGAAGATAAAAACAATGCCACTCGTTAACGATTATTACCCCTAGAACAATATAGTATGTGGTGGAAAGAATTACAAGATGTGGAGAAAGATTAACTAGCAGCATAAATAGAAGCTAGAATGAAATAGAGAACTCACTGTAGGGATCATGTCTTCGCTATATCCACCAGTCTTGGGATAAAGACCAACGAAGCCAGTTAATTCATCAAATTAGAGCCAAACAGATAGAAGTCAAAAATATTAATAAGAAAACAAAAAAAAAAAAAAATCAATAGAGACTATCACATCTAATTACTTACCGCAACAACATTTACAAGAGAAGTTTTTCCAGCATTCTGAAGCCCGATCAAAGAAAGCTCCATTTCCTGCTTAAAGAAAAGGCTGTAAACAAACAGACAACAACATCAGCCCATGCAACTTGTAAAGCCATTCTATTGAAGTAGGAGTCAGTAGCACATATTAATATAAAAAAACCTATTGCTAATGTGAGACATGTCACAGAACAACAGCTAATTGTGGTAACTTATCAGAAAGAACAAAAGAAAACACTAACATAGAGGTAACACAATCAAACTTCAGGAAATCTTTCATATACCTTTTACTTCAAAGGATGAAGAAGAAAAACTTGTCTGAATTTTTACCTCTAAAGATGTCTAAATGGGTAGTGTGGAATACAAGGTTAGTATCTGAGACATAATCATTAAACCACAGTAGTTGGACCAGGAACTACAGTTATATATCNACAACACTAACATAGAGGTAACACAATCAAACTTCAGGAAATCTTTCATATACCTTTTACTTCAAAGGATGAAGAAGAAAAAGTTGTCTGAATTTTTACCTCTAAAGATGTCTAAATGGGTAGTGTGGAATACAAGGTTAGTGTCTGAGACATAATCATTAAACCACAGTAGTTGGACCAGGAACTACAGTTATATATCCTTAAAAAGAATGAGCATAAGAATAAAACAAACTATAGTGGGAGTTAAATGAAGATTAATCCTTTTGTCTTCTACTCTTTTAAAAATTGCTGATAATAAATGTCATCCAGCTACGAGTCTATGAGTATGTGTCTGCAATACTGATGAATTATAGAGATAGCCACACTNAACAAACTATAGTGGGAGTTAAATGAAGATTAATCCTTTTGTCTTCTACTCTTTTAAAAATTGCTGATAATATATGTCATCCAGCTACGAGTCTATGAGTATGTGTCTGCAATACTGATGAATTATAGAGATAGCCACACTTTGTAGTTGTCTAAACCAAAAAAATCATTCGGTGCACACATTATGTACGTCTAGATGCCTATGCAAGGCACATACTCAAATGGTATTAGTACTATGTTATGTTCATTACATGACCATATACTTATATGTAATGTACCACTTCGAGGCATTGAAAACATAGAATTTGGAAGGATTCGTGCCAATGATTTTGGTTAAATNTTATGTACGTCTAGATGCCTATGCAAGGCACATACTCAAATGGTATTAGTACTACGTTATGTTCATTACATGACCATATACTTATATGTAATGTACCACTCCGAGGCATTGAAAACATAGAATTTGGAAGGATTCGTGCCAATGATTTTGGTTAAATTTATAAGAGTTAAACCTTTTTAGTCAAGTTCTCTAATCAGAACAAGTGACGTACAATCCGTTGGAAATCTAAAGTAACACTTAAATATACCAGGGACCTTTGTCCACCTAGGGATTGTTTCGATATCGACAAGACAAACTCATAACAAAACCAGGACAATCAGGAATAAAATGTTTACATTATACCCCCCAGAGTCTAACCAGTAAACAAGTATCCAACAAGCCCACAAGTCTGTTAACCTTTTGAATCCAGCCTTTGAACGTATGTACGAAGNCATAACAAAACCAGGACAATCAGGAATAAAATGTTTACATTATACCCCCCAGAGTCTAACCAGTAAACAAGTATCCGACAAGCCCACAAGTCTGTTAACCTTTTGAATCCAGCCTTTGAACGTATGTACGAAGATGCACCAGGATGTATGAGGGAAGAGAGAATCACATAAGCAAAGGAAACCAAAGCCACGAAGCCAGCATCAATATCTGGATTATTAAATGCAAATCTTGATACATTGGCCTTTCTAAAAACTGAACTGATCAGCCAATTTAGACTGCTGTCGAACCGGTTGAACTGGAACCCAATTATTTGAACAGATCCTTGTTTGTCTTTCTTTTCCTTTGGGTAGTGTAACCTTAAACTAAACACCAGGTTGGTATGATCCCTGAAATACAGGGCCAACAGTTGGCGTTGCCATCACAAAATAAGGCTAGTAAAATTAAAATAAGCATAGGCTTGCACCTGCAGACCACTGGACTGGTTTTGGAAACAGTAATCTCTAAAGAGACATACAAGTGTTTTGTTAATAAGTCTGGGAAAATATATCAAAAAAACCAAAAGATACAAGTTCAATCTTTATCAAAACTAAGAACAGGATCACATGAATTGATCAGGTGAGGGAATGGTAGTACAATCTTCCTTCTCATACAGATGTGCTATACTTTTGCAGGTCCTCAATTAAAATTGGTATGTTGAATTTTATTTAACANTTAATATCAGGTGAGGGAATGGTAGTACAATCTTCCTTCTCATACAGATGTGCTATACTTTTGCAGGTCCTCAATTAAAATTGGTATGTTGAATTTTATTTAACACTAGAGATAACCTCGAAACGTAGAAGAAAGCCACTATCTATTTTTTTCAAAAACAAACCCTTATAATTATGCCTATTCCATTGACAGTGTTCAATGAGAAAAACAACAAAATCGTGCTGCATGCAGTAAAACAACATCTTAAGTATCCAGGCATGAAAATCCTAAATTTCCTTTCTTATGGAGATAAGACCAATTGATCTCTATCATTGATAGATTAAAGATGTTTGACAACACTGGAAGCTCCCAAGTCATAATTCAACAGCATTCATCATTTGTGGCATTCTAGGATAGTTGATGNAAAATCGTGCTGCATGCAGTAAAACAACATCTTAAGTATCCAGGCATGAAATTCCTAAATTTCGTTTCTTATGGAGATAAGACCAATTGATCTCTATCATTGATAGATTAAAGATGTTTGAAAACACTGGAAGTTCCCAAGTCATAATTCAACAGCATTCATCATTTGTGGCATTCTAGGATAGTTGATGAATATATTCAAAGAGGCCATCCATGTATCACAGTCAGGAAAGCATGAAGAATCAGTACCCCGTCTCTTCCAATTTAGTCACATTCTACTTCCAGTTTCAGCTTTCTTAGCCTGTTAATATCACTGTCCACAGAATAGCTTCCTTGCTTCGTAATATCAATTTACCTCTGATGTTCTGCTTCATCAATTTATCTATATGCCCAATTTTCAACTCATTGACATAAGAAACATCAACAAACTGAGTGTCAACATGTGGAAAATTATCCACATACAGATAACAACAACAAGGATCATTACTAGCTGAAATAATGGCACATCGTCCCAACTCAAATTCAAACTCAAAATATTTAAGTCAGAATACCTAAAAGAAATTTCTGAACCAAGAGCATAATTCAACAAACAAAACATAAAATTCACACAAAACCAAATACTACAACGATATCACAAAACATATCCTGAATGGAACGAAAAACGAAAGACCATAATTTTCTTAATGTGAAACCAGAAAGATTTATTCCAAAACAGGAATATCATCACCGTTGATGTCAACACACACACACACATATGCGTCAAAGGCATTCAGAAAAACAAAACAAAAACAAAAAACTAAAATCAAACACTAGAATCGAAAATTAGTGTTCATGTGAATAGAAACAGAGATCGAAACATTTAAATTACATTCACACATTCAAATCTAAATATATACATAAGGCTATCAAAAAACATATAATTTCCGACACAAAGAAACACACACACACACACAGTTACCTTCGAAGCCAATTGAGGAAAGCTTCCCAGAGACCCATAGTTGAAGAGAGTTCTCGAAAACGAGAAAGAGATAGATGAATCTCGGTGAAGACAGGACTCGAAAACGGGAGAGATATCTGTGAGTCTATCTAAACAGAGGAAGATCTCTCGGATTCTATCTCTCTCTCTCTCTTCCTTTTTTTTTTTTTTTTNGAAAACGAGAAAGAGATAGATGAATCTCGGTGAAGACAGGACTCGAAAACGGGAGAGATATCTGTGAGTCTATCTAAACAGAGGAAGATCTCTCGGATTCTATCTCCCTCTCTCTCTTCCTTTTTTTTTTTTTTTGTACAACCTCTCTCTTCCTTCGATTGACAAATGCGAATCTCTTTCCTCCCCTATGCTTGATACTGTTTAGTGTATGTGCGTCCAAAAATTTAAAACAAAAGGAATGATTAATTACCGTAGGCGACAAAGTAGAGAAGAGAATACCTGGCAAAAGACGATATTACAAGATTACCTAAGAATCAAGCAGCTAAATTACGCTCGATTATCAATACGTGGACCAATCAGAAGAGGATTCTGTAAAGTGAGAGCGCGTGATGGACACGATCAGCTCTATTGAGTGTCAAAAAAGGAAAATGCTGCACGATGAGCGTCTAATCTAGCCATCAAGGGACCTAATTGAGTAATTTTATGTAAATATTGCATTCACAGTGAGTACTATTTAATATTTATTACTGAAATTCATAATTGATTTAATTATTACATAAAAATCACATTATTAAAATTTTTAATTAGTTTTATATAATATTACTCGTTAAAATATAATGTGATTCATTAATATAAATACGACACAAAATTAAAAAGATTTGGATCTTTTTTAAATCATTTGGTTTCATAAACAAGTCAATCTGATCCGACCGAATTTAATTAATAAATGAATCAAATACAAATAAAATTAATTAAAAAAATATAAAATATAACTCATTTATATATATTTTCTATATAATATAAACTTAGAGACATTAATTAATGTAATGATAAGATATATGGGAAGTGTGTGTTTTAGTAGAGAAGATGACGTATTGTTCCTAATTGTCAAAGCCACTTTTAGCTTTCGGTGGTTTTAGTGAAAACTAATTATTGAGATTGGGTCTGTATTTTTGTCCACGAAAAGAAAAAGACAAAAACCAAATCCTATTTTGATTTGGATTTTTTTGGTGAATTATTTCGAAAGATTTTAAAATTTTTAATTTATATCTTTAATCATTAATTTTTTTATATTACACTCTTAATATTATAAAATAATTATAATGTGATTTTCATACAAACTTCAGTTATAATTTTTGTCAAAAGTGTTATGAGGCCCTCACACTAAATGTAATGAGATTTGACCAAACTAACATCGAAAGTTAATGTGAGGAACACATTGAACCATTTTAGGGGTACAATATGAAAAAATTAATTACTTTGAGTATAAAATAAAAATTTTGAAATCTTTCAAGATACAAACCAGTTCAAACCAAATATCTAACATATTTCTTAACGATGTGTTTGGTACGTAGGAATGGACATTGGGAATGGAATGAGCATTACCAAGTAATTCACATTTCGTAGTTTGGTTGATGGTAATGAAATTTGATTCCCATTCCTATGAAACGATAAATCCCACAGACCAAGTGATTAGTCATTCCCCACCAATACATGGTATTGGTCATNTCGTAGTTTGGTTGATGGTAATGAAATTTGATTCCCATTCCTATGAAACGATAAATCCCACAGACCAAGTGATTAGTCATTCCCCACCAATACATGGTATTGGTCATTCCCAAAGAAGTGGTAATAAGCCCANATTACATTGCAATTATGATGGCCCAATTTTCACTCTAACTTATGTTGCACAATCTTCTGTACTTCTCTCTCTCTCTCTCGTTGAACGGTGAGGGGGTGCTTTTCAAATAATTTATACGCATATCAACTAATTCTTTCTACAATCCAGTCGTAGACTTGTCATCCACGTCAGAATAAAATATTCATGAGAGATAAATTCCTCATGATCTGACCCCAATAACTCTCTCTCACACACACTCATAGAATGATAGACCTGTAGATAAGGCTGATACTCAAATTGAATTACTTGAGTTCGGCTCGTTTTAAGCTCAGTTCATTTTTTAAACAAGTTGAGCATAAATAATTTTTTAGATTTGTTTAGCCTAAAGACTTGGCTCGAACTCATAAAAGTTTGACTCATTTTTATGTAAAATAGTCAAATTATTTGGGCTCGGCTCAACTTGGACTCCGACTGATTTTTGAAATTAATCGAACTTGAATAATTATTTAAGCTCGTTTAAAAATCGAACTCGACAGAGTCGGCTCAAGTATCAGCATTACCTATAGACCCGATACCCCCCTCCAATTCAGAATCTGCCCATGAAATACTCAGAATAAAAAGCGAATGTAGAGGAAGCTTGTAGACAGGGTTCTTGTCTCTAGTTTCCATGCTTCTGAAGTAAAANTCGACTGATTTTTGAAACTAATCGAACTTGAATAATTATTTAAGCTCGTTTAAAAATCGAACTCGACAGAGTCGGCTCAAGTATCAGCATTACCTATAGACCCAATACCCCCCTCCAATTCAGAATCTGCCCATGAAATACTCAGAATAAAAAGCGAATGTAGAGGAAGCTTGTAGACAGGGTTCTTGTCTCTAGTTTCCATGCTTCTGAAGTAAAAATAGCAATAAGCACCCTCATCCTAGAAGCAAATACTGATAGTGATGGACCTCCAATGTTTTTGCAAGAGGTTCCAGCTATATTTTCACAGTAAATCTAATTTGGAAAATTGGTTTTCTCAATTTTCTAAAATTCTAAAAAAATCCACATATATTTGTTGGAATCAATTTTTCTAAACTGGATTGAATTTTAGTAATTACTAATCAATGAATTTGCCACACCTACCTTTGTTTTTGAATTTTTAAACTTAATTACTCAGATAAACTTACCTTTTCAGATTTCAGAAAAATTAACGCTGTAAGATAAAAATCTAAGCATCGGTTTCAGAAAAATTAGACTAATCGTCAAAATGAACAGTGCCCTTATCTCAAAACCACTTAAGTTTCGTCAAAATGAAACCCTCCATGTCGCCATACCCTAATTATACATTACAGAAATGCATGACAAGAAGCCTATTTACAACTATCTTTAGAGAGTAACTGATATTAAGTACAGTAAATAAGGCGACATATAGTCTAATCCCAGCTCCACAGCTTTGCCATAGTTGAATCCTTTCATACTTTACAATGGGGTTTTGGCAACAGTAAACCCTGCTTGCTCTCAATGTACAAACAGTTGTAGCAATTTCAAGCAATTCCTGCTAAGCTTGTATGCTGAATAAGTTGTCGACAGTTCAAAGTTCTTCATTCTTCACAGGGGTCCAATTCTTACCTGCGGCAGTGTCTCTCCTAGCACGTAATACGAACCCAAGAACACATCCAACGAAAACTCCAACCAGGATGGCGGCGCCCTTAACAAACCATGAAAGTCTAGACTCCCTCTCACCCTTGGGCTTTAGTGTCACTGCCAGCACTACTACTACCACCATTGAGAACTTGGCCCGACACCAAAATCTCAACCATATCATGCACCTCGCCATCGTGGTTTCCCACATAAGAAAGTGTAAGTTTCTCCTTTGAAGCAACAAGTTTAGTGTATCCCCACTCACCCCCACGGTACAAAGATCGCACAGGCTGTGGGAAAATTGGGAGCTCAGGGTGGTCTGGTCGGGGTTCCCAGATGGTTTGCCCATCTTGTCCTCCCATTCCAATCACAACATGCACAGGGAATGCCTTCCAGTCCTCTCCACCGAGGCCCAAGCTTCCACACGTGAAGTTGCTTAGTGGACAAAACCTCTCATACCTGTGAACATGACCCCACAATGCAAGGGTCACCTTGTTCTTCACCAAAAGTGGTTCTAGGTGCTCGAGCATTCTGTTCCTCAATGGGGCATCTCTAAGTTCATTGCTCGTTGTGTACATTGGCCTGTGTCCTTGGACGACCACAAAAGGGGTCTTTGCTCTATCAACTGATTCTAAATCATTTTTTATGAAGTTATACTGGCTGCTCCCCGGTAGGAAATTGGTTTCAGTTGATATATAAACAAAATGCACCACCCCCACATCAAATGAGTAGTAAAGGTTTCGAGTGGCTGGGGCATGTGTTCCAGTTGGTTCTGAAGAATTTCCAGGCATGTTGAACCGGAGACCATATGGTACTCCACATTCACCACCCCCATCGCTCTCAAATATTGAGTAGGACCATTCAGGTCTCCATGGCTGTAATGGCCAGTTATATTCATGATTACCGATACACACGTGGTAGGGGACCTTGGAGGCCATAGGTTCAATCTGAGTGAAAAAGTTGTCCCACAACCATGAGTAGCCTCTTGCATAGCTGATATCTCCAATATGTGAGACAAGGGTAGGCTTGTCACCAAGAGCTTCAATATCCCGACTGATCCACTTCGTGGTTGATATGCTTTCCTGTGGCGAATGGTCAAAGGTGTTGTATGGTGTTGCAGTACCCACATCTCCGAATAAGAAAGCTACTGTTTCGTCTGAGTATCCATCATGCGACACGAAACTGTAAATGACACTCCGACCCCAAGAATCACTTCCAACCTATGTTATATAAATGCAGAATGTGGTATTTGTACAACAGAGAAGATTAATTGTTAGTAATCATATTTCCTTGATGGAGACTATTTAAACTAATTTTGCAAATGGGCTAAAAAAGAATGTGGCTTCTGGAATACACAACACGTTACAAGGAAACGTAACATCAACTGTACTATAACAGGCTTATTTAAGTCACAAAGAAAAGGCTTTTACTAGCTGTGGTGTACTGGAACATGATCATATCACCAATTATGCAACCCAGGAAAGGCCAACCTGTTACTGATCTACGCAGTAGTATAGCACATAAAAAAAGAAATGTGCGTTGGTGTGATTTTGTGTATATTTATATGGAAAGATTGAAGATTTGGTAATTAAATTTATAATTATATTGTGTCATTTGAAGTTGAATGATAATAGTGGTGATAAATTTATGAGTTTTATCACTGAGTAAAATTTGGTTGATTTTATTTATCGCTTAAAAATTATAAATTTAATTGTGTTCTGTTAATTTTTTTTTTTTTGGCTTGAAGTATTTATTACATGGGAATAGGGTGAATTAAAAATATGATGGTTGGGTTTATAATTATGTTGTGTTATTGGATTAAGTAGTAGTAAATGTGATAAATTTATGAGTTTTATAAATGAACAAGATTTTATTTATTATTTAAAGATTGTAAATTTTAATTGGTTACGTTAGTATTTTTTTTTTCCAAAGGCATTTGTATATGTGACATTGTTTTGGGGAGTTTTTATATATTTTTATGATAGTCCCATTAATATGGAAGATATGGTTGAAGATATATTTTAAGTAATTTTATAAGAAGAATGGGTATAAATATTTTTAGATCATTTTTTTTGAATTTGGACAATTATTTTAAATTTTTTTGTTTGTTGTATAGTGCCTTCAGACACGGATAATGACTAATATATCTATATAATAAAGTATTTAAATGGTTTGTCTTTAACTTTTTGTAGTTTAGATCTTTTGAGAATTATTGATCCGACAATCCTAATTGGACTTTCATTCGTTTTATAAACTTTAAGACTCTTATCTTTAATATAACTCTCTCTTGCTCTTTAACTCGTACACCCAATTCTCATTTGTATATAACTCTTTCTCCGGATATTTTAATTACACTCTCACATCCCTCATATAATTATCTCTCTCTATTTCATACCTCTTTTAAACACACACTCTCACATCTCTCATACTCTCTCTCTCTTAACATTATTTGTCTTGACGATCATAATTAAACTACTTTAGTCAAAACAAATTAAAAACTTTCNCTGCGAGAAACAGAGCATATATAAGGCGAGGCCAGATAAAGGCAGTTTGGGGAATTCTCATACCTATCCAATAAAGGTGGTAGAAGCATAAGAATCAAGGAGAAAGTTCTCATACCCATTTAGGAATTATTTCATATTTCATGGGTTTTCTTTTTGATCACAAAAGAATGGTTGTGGTGAAGAAGGAAATTGTGTTGAGGGGTTTAAAAGTTTGACAAGGGAGACGCGTCAGAGAGAGAGAGAAACCGGGGGAGAGAAAGAGATGGAGAGAATAAAAAAGGACAAAACAAAATTCCTTCTTGATCATTGTAGGAACATCTATTGGTATGCTGCCTCGGAAGTGGCCAACAACGGAGAAAGGGAGAGGTGTTCGAGAGAAAGAGAGTGGGGGAGACCAAGGGAGAGAGAACCCAAAAAAAATTGTAAGTCATTTAAATGGTAAAGGAAAAAAATTGTGGCCATCACTGGACAAGGCATAGACGGGCGGGGGGAAGAAAGGGAGAGAGCGGTGGCAGAAGAAAGGGAGGGACAAAGATGAAGAAATGGAGAGACAAAGTGGGAGAAGAAAGGGAGGGCAGAAAGAAAGAGGGACAAAGAAAGGAAGGAAACGAGGAGAAACCTATCGTCGGTGAAGCATNGACAAAGATGAAGAAATGGAGAGACAAAGTGGGAGAAGAAAGGGAGGGCAGAAAGAAAGAGGGACAAAGAAAGGAAGGAAACTAGGAGAAACCTATCGTCGGTGAAGCATACCATCCAACAATGGGGAAAGGGCCCAACTAACTTTGATTAAAGTGAAAATGGGGTTGAGTCCTCTTTAACGGACTTATAATAAATTTAGTTTGTTAAGAAAATTTATTTTGGGATAAGTTTNGAAAGGAAGGAAACGAGGAGAAACCTATCGTCGGTGAAGCATACCATCCAACAATGGGGAAAGGGCCCAACTAACTTTGATTAAAGTGAAAATGGGGGTTGAGTCCTCCTTAACGGACTTATAATAAATTTAGTTTGTTAAGAAAATTTATTTTGGGATAAGTTTATTTTTAATCTTACTAATAAATAGTTAAGTCTACTATTTTTTTTAAACTCCAAAATACTCTTTCTTAAAAGTAATTTTAAATTAGTTTCCTAGCTTGAGAATTACTATCCCTTAATTCACTATCAATGAAGATATGTCAATAAATTTTTTTATATAAATTTGAAGTTCAAATTCAAAGAACAACTCATACTCTCTCTCTCTCTCTCTCTCTATATATATATATTTGTCATGTTACTGTTTTTGTGTGGATGTTACTATTTTTATTGGTCATGTTACTATTTTTGTTGAACATGCTACTACTGTTATTTTCTCAAATATTAATACTCAATATTATTATTTTTTAATTTTTGAATATTATTATATTTTTGTGTTTAAATGTTACTACTTTTTTTTATGTTTAAATGGTATTATTTTTTGTGTTTGAATGATACTTTTTTTTAATATTATATATATACGAGAGAGAAAGAGATAAATAAATAGTCATATTCTATATATGAATATAAATAAATATGAGAGAGAGAATTTTAATATTAGTGAAACTCCTAAAATTTAANAAATAGTCATATTCTATATATGAATATAAATAAATATGAGAGAGAGAATTTTAATATTAGTGAAACTCCTAAAATTTAAAAGTTGTTAGTTTTCAAATTTATTTTAATTAAACATAACTACTTGAGGTATTTTGAATAATTGAGATCAAAATGAATTTAATATTAAACAAGTTTCCTTGATGAACTTATCATCAAATTAGTTCACAAAGGGGGACGACCTCCAAATTTTCCTTGATTAAACCATAGGACATAAAATACTTTTTGGTGGGTATGTTGGTAAAATTATCTTTTATCCTACTGATAAGAAATTTATTCTACAAATTAGTGGATTATTTATATCTGATTTAGAGGAGATAAATGAGTTCAATTACTACGGGCCGAATATTTGAGCCCAACGTTTATCTCATCTAATTTTTTGGATTCAAACTTCAGATATGTGGGCCCCCAAAATACTTTAAACCCAATCTACATGTGTTATCCACCTTTATGCATCAAACCAAACACCCCCTCAAATGATTAATCTTGGTACTACTCTCTTACTCAAAGATTGTTAAAGACATTAATATTTGAAAGGGGGCATTTGTCCAACCATTACAAAAAAATGGGCTTCTGAAAAAATAAGTAAAAATTTGGACTGAGTCCTCCTGAATGGACATATAATGATTTGAGCCCGTCAAGGAAACTTATTTTATGATAAATTCATTTTTTATCTTACTAATAAGTACTTAAATTCATTATTTTTTAAATTCCAAAATTACCCTTAACAATGTTATTGTATTCAATTATAGAAATCTTAAAAACCTTGAAAGTAGCTTTAAATTAATTTAACCAACTGGGGTAGCCCAGTTGGCCTGGGCCTCTGGCTTCCCAATGAGAGGTCAGGGGTTTAAAGTCCCCTGGGTGCAAAAAAATATGGATACTTGGTAGGACAAACCCTTAGTTACTTGAATGAACCGTATCCAAGTCTCTGATGTGGGTCTTGAATCCCCGGCAAAACACAAGTACTGATTTAAGTGTTGTATGAGTTAAGAGACCGGTTCATACACCCTAGCTTTGCTCTTGATTCTACTCAGAGTCANAAATTATTGCTATCACTAATGAGCGGTTGGTCTAGTGGATAAGAACTTGGATTTCCTCGCTCAATACTTGGATTCAAGTCTCTATAACTACGACAGTCTGTTGAGGCTAAACCTATTTTTCAGCGCCTAGAGCACATGGTGGGGCCTTAGCTTCGATCCCAACGTAGGTGCGGTAGGATTCCCTGCAGATAGCTGTGTGGTGATGAGGGATAATTCTCCTTAACGGATATGTAGAGTGACTACTACAACTTTATAATTGATCACCTAAGTACATATTGTCGCGAAGTAATATAATACTCAGAAGTTTGAGGTCGAACCATAAAAAATTGGAAAAACTTAGACCACGAAGGAAAAATAAAACAAAATTACTTTCAAACTGTGGTAGAGAAAACAAAAATTGTTTGCTTAAAAGCAGAAAATTGAAATACTAAAGTATTAGAAATATTTTTTTAATTTCACACAGTAATTAATAATAATTCAATTTTTGAATTTAATTGAGAATCAGTTTATGAGTAATTTCAATCGAAATGTTTAGTAGTAATAATATGAAAGCATTAAAAGTATAATTAATAATTTAGTTGAATAGATTTAGAAATTTATTTGTAAATTACAAGTATTCACCGTACTCGGTGTCTACAACAATTCAAGTTTTCTAACAAATAAGAAATTAACTATTTTATTTAATTGACTTAAGCATAAAATCTCAAGTATTCGATATACATGACACAATGAATCAAGAAATTATATAGAGTAAATTTTTTATTAAAAAACAAAAATTAAATTAAAAGAATAAATCATGCATTAAAAAGAACATTAAATCAAAAATAATACTATACTTCATTGAAAGTATCTATCCCAACTTTAGTTGGACTTTTAGCAAGCATAATTTTTTTTTTTGAGAGGGGGAAGGGAGATTTGAACCATTGACTTCAAAAAGGCAAATGCTAGAAAAAGAATAATCTCTCAATAAGTGAGGGGCTTTATTTATAATAAAATAAAGCCTGGATGTAGGTAAGAGATATAAGGTTAGTTTAGAACAAATTCCTT